GTTACACTAAAAGGCAATAGCCCAATTCTAAACTTGGTGTGGTATATGTGTGGTATTCCACATTTTTTTATTTCATATAGAATAAAGCCTTTAATACTGTAACATTTAGTTTAAATCAAGTCCAAGAAAAAGAGTTCTTAAGATTATTGTAAATTGTGGTCAAACAAGAAGCCGATTTCTAAGCCACTTTTAAAGCTTGGGGTTAAGATTCAAATCTATGGGCACAAAATCATAATCAAGAAAACTTGATTAGAAAGCTATCAGCAATATTATGTTAGTTGTTGCACTAGCTTCAGAGATTCTAGATTTGTCACTTGTTGTGAAATACTAGAATCATCAGGTTTGACTATGTAATCTATCTAGAGTATGGCTTAAATAATGGAGTACTAGCTTTTGAACTCTAAAAAGGTCATTCTAATGGAAATGTGTTGTTATTATACCAGTCCTATGTGTAATTTAGTTATTGATGAAAAATGCCACAAGGCGATTGAAACAATAATAGATCTTAATAATCTCATTTTTGAACTTGTATCGAAACTTATAGAGGAATAGTATAGTGTTTATATGTCATTTGATTCTATTACGTTTTATGAAGCTTTTGACGATCCTAACTTTTTGAGTTGGATATTTGCCAAGTAGTATGAGATTGCATCTTTGTTGTATAATTATATGTGAGATCATAGTGTATGACCACATCATTGTAGTCCAATTCATTAATGATGGATTTATAAGGTCGAAAAGGTACTTCATATGCCAGATAGAAACCTTTAAAGCCAATTCGGTGATTTAAAGCTTTAAATAGACAGGAGGAGTTGGGTGTAAGGAATCATTATATTCTATTTTTACAATTGATTCTTTTGTAAGCTTTACAGCATTTGTGGCTCATTCAGTTAGGAGCTGCATTAGTTAGATGTTAAGATTAGATATCTAAATTGAGGTAATTGAAGGTTTTGTGGTTTTCTGTAACATAACATTCAGTTTATAAACTTAAGAAATCCATTTGTGGACTCAAAAGGCATCTAATTTGTGATATCTGAAGTTGATGAGATTGTCACTTCAAGAAAAATATTTAGTGATCAATGTATATGTCTAGAGGTTAGTGAGAGCAGTGTATTTTGGGTGCTCTATATTTTGATAGTGTAAAATCAACAGCCATAGACATTGACCTATTGTTTGAAACATTACATGTTGTTATGTTATTTTAGGTGAAAAATCTAAGTAAAGCTTCCATTTTAGTTTAAGGATTGAGATTTTTCGTGATAACTATAAAAGTATATTCGATTTGTCTCAAAAACCTGAACCTAGTATGTGTTTGTTTAATAGATTTGATGTGCACTATTGTTTTCCTAGTAAGGCACCTATTGAGAAAAAAATGACGTATTGTTAAATCTCAAAGTCCTTATGTTGTTAAATGAAAGAGCTCATGTCGAATATTCAAAACACCTTAATTGTGGGCAGCTTGATATTGTGCTCAATTATGCACACATTCTGATGTTGCGTATGTTGTATGTGTATTTCAAAGACATTTGAGTAATTTTGTACATAGACATCGGTAATCCAATATTTTGATATAGTCAGATAATTAATCTTGATTCTGTATGCTATCGGGAGTCAATTTAGGTAGTTTGGCTAAATGAGCTATTTCTGGGAAAGTGTGAAATGAACATTTACAGCATCCTTGATTATGACGGAGAAGCATATGGCATCTGGTAGAGCTATATGTTTGATTGTTGACTGTAGAATCTTATCTTAAGGTTGGATTCTGGTTTTCCATTCTGAAGACACTGGAGATGTTTTATGGTAAATTTACAATAGTGGCTTTCTCTCAAATATTAGGAGTTCCTCACACTCTATATATATAGATATCATCATTCAATATATTAGAAATAAACTAATGGAATCCATTATTGGTGTAAATAGTAGAGCACATAATCTATAGAGCTAATTCTGGTGTAACCACTAGCTAATTTTGGCTACTAAAGTGTCTTAACGATTAGACATTTATTCAAAGCTTGTAGAGCTTTTTGCTATATTGAGTTAGAGGGAGCTTTGTGTAATTGAAATTAGTTGCAACTATGATAGATAGATTTTTGTTTGCCATACGTATACTTCGTTTATACGCATTCTATTGAGTGTGGTATTCTATTGAATGAGACATTCAGGTTTTGTCTTATGTGCTTTTTAGAAGCAACTCATCATTCAATTTAGATGCAAATGACCTAATGAAAATGGATATTTATTATGTTTTCATATTATTTCCATTTCACACATCATACTACTACTTTTAAAGCCTTTATGAGTTTATGTATATGTATTCTATTAGTACAGTACATTCTAGTGACTCATAAATGCTTGTTGTTGTTCTGTTGTTGTGCCATTAAAATATTCAAAAGTATACGTACATGTGTCCTTTTAAAATAGTGCATTTTGAAGCTTATGAATACCTTCAGGTTGCAGAAAGGATGCAAGTCCACACATCGGTACATTATTGGTACAATGTATTCTGGGACTTATAGATGGTTATTTGTTGTATAATGGTTTAGGTATATACTTATATTGACATTTTTTGTTTATGGCCATTCTGTTGATTTAGAATTAGGTTTAATGACTAGTGTTGTTAAAGTTGGAAATTGTTGTATTTATTTTATATCGGTGGATGAACAATCATTATATACTGGATTATATTAATTAATATCAATTAATGATTAATTATTGAAATATCATGTTATAATATACCCAAATAGTAGTATGAATATTGTTAAATATGATCCTTATTTAATTCTGTATTTGAATACATAATAGGATGAAACAATTTACGAAGGTCCTTGCTCTTACCTCTATACATGAGATTAGCCCATTGAATTTCATATCTTTCGTTTTAAAAGGCAGAGAACAACTCTCTCTTTTTGTACTTTGTAGGCCTCCAATCGAATCCCGAAGGCAGGGATTGGAAAGTTTGTGAGATCGGCATCCTTTCGTGGGCCATGGAACAAAAGGGATTGAACTCTCACCCACATTTAATTTAGTTTTAATTTTTGTTAAGTTGTGTCGATGACCCTGCGAGCTTCTGAACTGAATCCAACATGCTAGCTAACATGTGTCCTCTTTTGTTTGAGAAATATTACGTTGTACTCAAATTTCTATCCCGAAATTAAATTAAATGCTTGTGAGAGAGATTGGGTAAGAAAAAAAAAAAAAAAACTCTAATTCCATGTTTTTACTCGTAATACTTTCTCACGCCCTCTCTTTTTAACTTGACCATGCGCGGATAGAAGGGTTTAATCTAGTCTAGAACCGTCACATCCGGAAGCTCGACTTGTTGTATTAATGTTTTGCCGCAAATATTGAGGATAGTAGTCAACCCGATCGACCTCACCTGCACTTTCCTTATCTTTATTTTTATTGAGCCGTTGAATTGGGTGCTCTTACTACTAACTATTATCCTTTGTCTTTAATTTTTTGCACCATGCATTTAAAAGTTAGATTCATGAGAAAGACAGACAAACCTGTGGTGCAGGTGGAGCTAAAGAAAGATTCCCACTTGTTTCACTGCTAAAAATAGGCTTTGCCTTGCGCATGACTTGAATTGGTCATGCATGTGATCATCCGAGTAAAATCAATGCCGCCAATAATTATTATAAAGCTGAAATCAATAACCATATATATATATATATATATAAATTTTAAAAATATTAAAAGTGGTTAACGTAAATATTTTTATAAAATTTTAAATTAATAAATTTATTTTTAAATATATAATTTTTATTAATTTATTTAAATTTAATTGAAATCAACAAGATTAAAATACAATTTATGTGAAATTAAACTATTTTAAAATTTAAATTTCTAAAATTAAAATTTTAAAAATTTTAAAAGTGGTTCACCAAAATATTCTTAATAAATTGTATATAAATTTTAATTTAAATGAATTTTTTTATTATTAGACTTATTTTTTATAATGACAATAAAAATAAAAATAATTGATTAAAAATAAATTTTTAATTTAAAAAATGTAAAAAATTATTGATTAAAGTGTAATAGTAAATTTTTTTTTATAAAATTTAATTTAAATGAATTTTTTTATTATTAGACTATATATATATATATATATTGCAATTTACATCCTCTGTTCATGACTAACTATGGTGAAATGTTGCTTTGTAATGTATTTATCTAGATTTTGAGTTTGAAATGTTACAATACCTACTCTAAAAATTCCTTCAGCGCATACTATTACCATACTAGCTACCAAAAAAAAAAAAAGGCATATCAAATTTCCTTGAATATTGGACATTTTCAACCTTGCATATATAATTCATGTCATACATAGGGGATTTTCATCTACCTCAGCTAACATCCATGTGATTTCCTTAAGACGTTGCGTTGATCAATTTTAATAATATTGTTGAACAATTTCTATAACAGATCAAACTTATGAGTGATGGAGCCGTTGATCATTTCCCCTCCATTTTTGTTTTTTTTGTTTTTCCTTTCTTAATTCTTTGGCGACCAATTTTCCCTCTATTTAGAATCATAAAAATTAAGATATACAATTGGTGATGATCTAAAGAAGTATTGAATTAGAATACTTGTAGACATTAAATGGTTATTATAGTAAATAAAAGCATACTTGTATTTATTAAAATAGTTTAATAAGTATTTTGATGATAGTAATATAATTAAATTAATTAATAAAATTTATGTTCTCAGTATTCAGAATATATGCATGCATAAAATTAATTAATTACTAAAACTTATGTTCTCATTGTTATATTTAATGTGTGTTACGTAAAGTTATTAAGTGAGAGATAATGATCAATAATAAAAAGAAAAGATTACTATTTATTTAGTACATTTTTATTAAATTTAGGCTTGCAAATTACAATTACATAGAAGGGGCAAGTACTGCTTCTGCAATATCAAGAGAAGATTAGCAAATGAATAGTACGAAGTTACTTCGATCTTAAGCAACAGCATCGTCGGAGACACAGATTTTGAACTCATGGTATTCCACTTCCACCTCCAAATCCTCCACCATATCCTTGGCCATATCCACCACCATGTGAGCCGCCCCCGCCACCACCTCCGCCTTCACCTCCACCGCCACCAAACCCTCCGTTTCCTCCAGACCCAAACCCAGATCCACCCCCAAAACCATATCCAGCACCCCCATTGCCTCCCCCACCCCCACCACCACCTCCGCCTCCACCTCCACCACCACCACCACCAAACCCTTCGTTTCCTCCAAACCCAAACCCAGATCCACTCCCAAAACCATATCCAGCACCCCCATTGCCACCCCCACCCCCACCTCCACCACCACCACCACCACCTCCTCCACCACCTAAGCCCCCACCAGCACCAGTCCAACCTAGTCCACCACCATAAAAAGGGAAAGAAGGGAAGAATGCTTTCTTCTCACCAAGTGCATCTACTTCCTTTTCACTCACTATTAGCTTCCTAGCATCGGTACAGGCGCAAACAAGAAAACCAACAAGCACTAAAATGGAAACCCTGGCAGTCATCTTTTACACTAGAATATTTGCTATAAATATTTCATAATGTGTGATGAGAAATGGGACTCAGAATGAAAGAAGATTTATATAGGCGTCTGAGAAGTAAAAATGAGGTGATAAATTGGCAGTGAGTATGCTGAAAAGGTTACATCCTATCATCTATAATCCGTACTCAGGCATGCAGTTAATGGAGCCAGCCGCCTCTAGTGAAATGAGACCCCTTAAGTCACCACTTCATGGGAAATGACTTAACTAAGTTTTGATTTTGGTCATTTGATCATTGATCGGATAATTGAATTTGTTAGTGTCGAACTTTGAGTTGAGAGTAAGGATTCTGAAATCATTTAAAAGAAAGAAAATGATTAATAGTAAAGGTCAATAGTATTTTTTATGTTTGTATTTTAATATTTAAGTGAAAAGTCAGGATAAAAAAATTGAAAAGAGATAAAAATGGAAAAGCAAAGAAAATAATTAGATGGATAGATAATATTTAGATGGTTAAGAAACGGTTAAGAGTAAAGGTATATAATGTTTTTTATGTTTAAACTCTAATACTCAAATCAAAGGTCAAAACAAAAAAGTCGAAAAGAGATGAAGATAGTAAAGTGAATGAAATAATTATATGGATAGTTAATATCTAGATAGTTCTATTTATAGTATCATAATGTATAGATATATAAACTCATAATTTGACTTGACTTTAGGAGTTTATTAATTTTTTTGTTAAGGTGTGATTGGTCATCTAAGTAAATTTATTTTTTTTTTAAAGAGAAATCTCAAGCTTAACTTAGGTATCTTTAAAAAATAAATTTTGTGTCTATGAAATCAAAACTAGATTTGAGAGTACGATTAAATGTGAGGAATGTTATAATACCCTCACAATGTCATTAAATGATGGTATAAATTTAATTTCATATTATTCAAGACTTAAAATATTTTTAAATTTTTACCAAGTAAATTTAATTATTGAAAATTGATTTTAAAATTACTCTAATCGTTTGGTAGTGATTTAAGATAATTTTCTCACCTCAAGAGTATTAATAAAAACTCGTGTTCCATTCTAAAAAGACTTTGTCGTCGGATTCATTAACATATTTTGTAAGAAATTATTTTTTGAAAGTAAATAATAAAATCCTTCAATCATTTGGTAAGATTTTATATCAATGCATATCTTCCAATCATTTGATGAGATTTTTATTTGAAAACCTTGAAATTTTCTTTTGAAAAAAAAGTTATTAAATAATCTAATAGTTTGATAAGATTTAATAAAAATTGAATCTTTCAATCATTTGGTTGGATTGAAATATTATTTTTTGAAAATTCATTATGAAATTCTCCAATTGTTTGATAGAATTTATAATTCAAGATTTAAATCCTCCAACCATTTAGAAAAAATCATGAATTTATTATAAAAATTTATTTTAAATATGCATAAAAGAAGAAAGAGAAACAACTAACTAACATAAATAAATATAGAAATAAAGAAGAAAAAAATAGAAATTACATTGTCTTCTTTTTTATTTTTTTTACAAAATAGCCTATGACTTTGCTGGCATCCCTCGCCTGTGGTGATTGTCTTTCTTTATGGTTTAAACAAAATTAAACAGAAACCTAAAACATATATACCTAAACTCTAAAAAATTTTGCTATAAAAATTTTTTGTTGAATGATTCCTTTTGTGTTTCATCTCAACTCATTGCCCTAACACATAACTTCTACGAGAAAATTCTAATTATCTAAACCTAAAACACCAGAGAAAACTATAAAAAAAAAACTCTTAATTTTTTTTGCTTTTCTTTTTTTGACTATTTCTCGTCTTGATTTTTTTTATTGATTATTCATTGTATCTAATTGATCCTAATGGAGTCTTTTTATATGCTTCTAATCCAAATCACAATATGATAAGGTTTTCTTGGTTTCAACCTCTTAATCAAAGTCAAATTTAGATTTTTAATCTAAGTCTACCTCAAATCAATACATTCCCTTTTTCAATTAGAACATTAGACTTCAAACTGAATCAAACTTTTTCCTTTTTTTTTTTTAAACCATAAATCAATTAATTAATAAAATAAATAATCCTAAACTAAACAAAATACTAAAATGCTAAAATTAAATTAAAAAATATCTTGGACTAAATAAAGTGTCTACATATAGGCGAAAGGTAAAAGGTTTATGAGGTAAAATAATGATGTAGTCGAGTTGATGTGACATTGTATATGTCAGGTTGACCTAAAAATTGAAAATGCCCCTGGTTGTCTACTGACAGTCCTTAATGGAAGAGAAGACCAATTTGCCCAAAAATAAAAAATACCCCTAACATTCTGTCCTTTCATCGAACAGTTTGAATATCAGACTGATAGGTGCTTGATTTAGTCCTTTAGGCACATGTGTTTGTTAGTTTGACCTTGAGTTTTTTAGTTTGTATTTTGAAAATTTATGCTCTGGAAGTGACCTCGCGTTGTCGAGGTTGAATGCTCTTAAAGTTAATGTTAAGGCAGGTGTGAGAGGTGTATGATCGATTGTAGGGTGTTAAGTATGGCCTTGGCTATTCTGGAGTGTACCAACTTGATGTGTGATCAAAGTTATCAAGTTTGATCTTGAGCATGGGTTTCAAATTATATGTTTAACTAGTTCACTTTAAGGTTGCCAAGGTGAGTGACTTTGTGCTGAAACGGTCCAAGATTAGGCTAAACAAGCTTATGAGTAACTACTGATATGGCTTATGTGTTTAACGTGGTGCGTACCGACGTGAGACTTATGTTTTTTCCTAGTGTTGGAGTTTGACTTTCAGGCCTAATACAAGGTTGACCTGGCGATTGGTCTGTTTGGCAAGTCCAGCTTAGGTTTTGTGACTGGTCTAATCGATTTGAATAGGTGAAATGATTTATTTACCTTATTACTATTTGAAAATCACATTTAATAAGGAGAGAGATATTTGAGCAGTAAAACTCAAAGCTAGGAAGGTAAAAAATCATCCTCGATAACCATTCGGAACACGTGAGACAATTTGGAACGTTCATTTAATCTCAACGTTGGCTATATAAAAAGCCTCTTAGGGCCTTCATTTTTTACGTTGTTGTCTTTTTGCTTTAGAACCAACATGCTTTTACCAATTTTAAAAATCATACTTTTTTTCAACTGACCTTATTTTCTTGTTTTTTACTTCAGTATGTTTTTTCTTTATTTTTTTCTTTATAATGTCTTTTAGTGCAAGTTCTAGGGACTTGGGAAGTTATAAAGTAGTTCCAAATGTAAAGAAGAATGATAAGAAAGTAAAAAAAATAATCAAACATATAGATAGTACCTAAATGACTCTATTTATAGGCAAAATATAAAGAATTTATGAGATTAAATAATGACATAATCAAGCTAATATAATATTGTAATTGTTAGGTTGATCTAACGTATCACATCAATCCAAAAATAAAAAATTTTCCTATCTATCTAGTCACAATCCCTAAAAAAGTAAAAATCTAATTAACCCTTAAAACTAAAAAATAACCTTAATAGAATCTAAAACTAGAATGAAACAATTTGCCCTTTTCTTACTTTAACGATGAAGAAGTTCCTTCATCCAACTTTCTTTTAGCAGTCTTATCAATATGATTGGTCTCCCTTCGAGGTTCTAACAGTTGTTTCCAGGATGATTATTTTCTACTCCGGGACCTCAATAGTAATTGCTTGAAGTGGGCTTGGCCTAAAAAAAATTAACTAATTAATGATGAAAGTTAAGTTGTCCTTTTTCATTAACAACAGCCTGGCCCGTAACATTAAATCAGCAGCCCCATCCCCATCATCCTCCTCTTTCTCCTTTGTATCAAAATTTTCGGTGGTAAAACTAAAACTCCTCCATTGAATTATATTAGTTGGTGGTTCTAAAGAATTGAGGACGAGAATAAAAGTCTAGGCATGATATGAGTCTAGGCATGATATAGTATTAAATGAAAAAAAAAAAACCAAAATTTGGTATACCCTCGACAGTGGATTGCGTTCTCTTTGCATCATCATCAGTGGCAAATCCTTTCAAGTTTCAACAATCGACACATTTGGTTTTATTGCAGTCGTTTCGATCAGAAATTATTACTCTCTAGATATAGAAATTTCTCTCCATTTCTGATGACTTTATTTTTCTTGATAGGAGAGGAAATAATTGTAATTAGAACTTAAAATTTGTTTTCAAATGCCACCTCATTATTGGCTTAAATGAAGTTCGCTTAAAATGGCCTTCATTTTTAATCATCTGTTTGTAATTAATGATCCAAAACGATAACAAGGTTAAATATTTTATGTGCATAGACGAGACGAGACGAAAGGTCCTTTTTCTTTTAGGTGAATGTGTTTTGCGAATGCTTGTCCGTCAAATTTTCTATTGAATCAATGATGAATGGAAAATTGAATCAATAACCCAAATGCTGAAATTACGTACAGACAACAAAAAGGTTCCCGCTTAAGAACAGCGGTCCCCCTCCCTCGTTTTGTAGTGTCGCCAAGCCACAGGGCAACTGGCACACGTGAATAAAGCCTGGATAATCACCCTATGCAATGACCCTTTGGTGACCGTTCGTCATAATTGGAGATCGACGTAGCAATACTGTTAAGGGTTGTCTTGTGGGGTTGGTTAGCATACGTCGCCTCTTTAGAAATCTACCCAATATACCAGTGTAAAAAAGAAAAGCTTTTTGGTATTCCATACTGGTTATGTACTTTATGCGCATAATTTTAAGCAAGAGTGAGTTCTAGAGAGACATCATTTACACCTAGGATCTCAGCTTCGCTCAGCCCTAACATTGGCTGGGAAACTTTTGAATTCAGCGATAGGCAAATTGAACAATCAGATATTCTCTCAGTTGCCTGATGATCAGCTATGTCAATCAATCTTTGATGGTTGCACTTCCAACCTACACCACCATTTAGCCCTTGTTCATTGCTTTCCTGTAAGATCAGCATGAAGGCATAACAAAACTCTAATTAGATCAATTTGCATTATAAAGAAATTAAGTTTTTGGTGTCTTATAAACAGAGAAAGAGTGATCATTACTGGGGTAATGCAACTTTTGAGTAGATCCTTGAAGATGATATATGAGTTTGATCTCTGCTGGTCAGATCCTTTATTTGTGATTTCTACGTATGACAACTTGTTACTCACTTTGTTTCCATTCCTGCAGATATTGGGTAGGAAGGAATAACAAAACTTATTTTTTATACAAGAAAGGAAATACTCTCGTTTTTCTCAGTTATATGCTTGGCTTCTATCTAAGAATTACGTTTAGCTCTTATTGTTATTATTATACTACTCTACACATTATAATTTTATGAATTTATTAATTTCACATTAATTGATATTCTAACGCAATTAATAATATTGTAGAACGAGCAAATTTTATAGCGACACTGGATATGTACCGGTGTGCATGAAGGATGGTATTTGAAGCCATCCCTTGGATTCCGAAGCCTAGATTTTGGAAGGAATTGCGATTAAGGGTTCCCCCATACTTAAGCTGATGATTTTGTTGGCAGTTGATCATCGGATCCGATACCGTTGCATATCTCTTTGCTGCAATGGCTGCTTCTGTATACAGAACCAAACATATGTGCATGGCATCGAGCATTAGTAAGGATTTAACCTTAATTTCAAACTATTAGTTTTTGACAAGTGCATGACGTACGTCTAATTTTTGCCTATAAAAATTATAATTTAATAAATATTTTTTAGATATTATGATAATAAAGATAAATACTAATAATTTAATTTTGATTTTAGTATAATATAAATTAAATTTGATAATTTTTTATATAACTTTGATTTTGATAGCATTTGATATGTTTTGATAGCCTTTGTTAAGAGTTCGAAAATTTTTATAAAAATTTTGGTAACCTTCGTTATTAGTTTAGTAACTTATAATATAATTTTTGTAACTATTAATACAATTTTGATAATATTTGATAAAATTTTGGTAATTTCTTGATGTAATTTAGTAACCTTTTCATATAATTTTGATAATTTATGATATAATTTTTGTAATCATTGATAAATTTTATGTTATCATATATTTAATAATAAATTCCCACAACAAAGGGTGGTTCTTATTCTAATATAAAATAATTTTCTTTTTATATAATAAGATTATTAATGCTTTATTCAAATTTAAAGTTTTTTTATTAATTTTTTATTGAATAAGTTTGTGGTACATCCTAACCTCTGAAGATGAAAGTTCAAACTTCGTTTCTCATAGTAACCAAGATTCAATCACTGACAACTTAAAGTATAAAAAAATTATCAATGATTGATAATTAATTTATTATTGATTTACTATCATGTTATCAGGGATTTATTATTAATTTATTAATAATTTATTATTAAATTATCAATAATTTACTACTAAATTATTATTGATTTACTATTAATTTATAAATAATTTGGTACAAAGTTATTAATTATAAGCTAATTTACTACAAATTTATCACTAATTTACAAGTAAATTATCACTAATTTATAAATAATTATTAGTGATTTATTGATAAGTTATTAATAATTTACTATTAAATTATCAATCATTTACTATTATGTTATTATGAATTTACTACTATATTATTATTTATTTACTACTTAATTTTTTATTATTTACTAAAAATTTATCACAAATTTATTACTAAATTATTCATGATTCACTACTAATTTATATTAACTTATCTATGATTTATTGTTAAGTTTTCACTGATTAACTATTAACTTATCAATGATTTATTACTAAATTATATTGAGTTACTTTTAAGTTTTAATGATTAGCTCCTAAATTATCATTGATTTATTACTAAGATATTTGTGATTTACTATTAAGTTTATCAATTAATTACTATTAAACTGAAATTGATTTATTATAAAGTTATCACTAATTTACTATTAAGTTGTTATTGATTTATTACCAAGTATCAACAATTAACTGCTAAGTTATCACTTATTTTTTTATTAAACTATGCTTGATTTACTAATATATTGTTTTGTATTTACAACTATAAATTATGGATTTTAAAATGTCCATTAACAATATACGAGATAATTTTGTTGTTATATAATAAAATTATTACTTTATTAATTTTTATTAAATAGGTTAATGATAGGTTTTATCCTAATCCTCAAGATTAAAGTTCCACCTTCGTTTTTAGGAGTAACCAAGGTTCAATTCTTGGTAACTTCAAGTATAAAAAATTATCAATAATTGACAATTAAGTTATCATTGATGTAATATTATATTGTGTGATAAACTACTATGTTATCAATGATTTACTACTAATTTATGAATGATTGACCATTAAATTATGAATGATTTACCTAAGTTATTGATGATTTTTTTCTAAAATTATAACTGATTTACTACTAATTTATTGATGATATACTATAAATTTATTAATGATTAACTAATTTTCTACTAAATTATTAATAAGTTACAATTAAGTTATTATTAATTTACTACTATACTATTAGTGATTTACTATTAAGTTATCAATTTACTACTAAGTTATCAATAATTAATTTACTATTAAATTATCCATGACTTATTGCCAAATTATCAATAATTTATATTAAATTATCCATGATTTACTATTAAGTTATCATTGATTAATTATTAAGTTATCAATAATTTACTACTAAATTATAATGATTTACTTTTAAGTTTTCAAAAATTAACTACTAAATTATCAATTAATTTTTAAGTTTTCAATGATTAAAAACTAAATTATCAATTATTTATTACTAAGTTAACATTAATTTACCCTTAAGTTATTTATGATTTACTTCTATATCAATTAATTACTATTAAATCAAAACTGATTTACTATTAAATTATCAGTAATTTACTATTAAGTTATTATTGATTTATTACTAAATTATCAATAATTAACTATTAAGTTAACACTTATTTTTTTAATAAATTGTCTTTAATTTACTACTTTATTTTATGCATATTTTATGCATCTACAACTATATCATAATTGATTTACTATTAAGTTATTATATTAATTCTATGTTGTCTTACTGAATAAGTATGAATTATGATATTTATTTCAAATAAAATATTTAAGCTTTTTCTCTACACCAATATAGCAATAACTTATCAATAAATGAAAAACTATAAATTCATTTATCTAAATTAACATTTTTGTAATCGAATTCCAAAATTTTCGAAAGAAGATATATCATTTAATCTATGAAAGACTTGGGCATAAGAATTTTCTTCTAGAATTATCATTATTATTTTTGTAAATTTTGTACTTAAATTTTTATTATGTTATGTTTTTATTTTATTTTGAAATTTATATCGATATCATAAAAATATAACTAAAAATAATATGATTAATCAATTCAAACTTGAAATAATTCAAAATTCAAATTGAATATACATAAAATTTTATTCATTTTAAATTTTAATTTAATTAAAAATTAATATAATACACATAATTCTAAAAATAAACTAACTTAACTTAGTTTCAATTGATTTTAAAAAGTAAACAACTTAGTTGTTTAAAATATGAAATAATTAAACATAACCAAAATTTGAATTAAAATATTAAAACAATTAGAATATAATTTTTTTTTCATTTTTTGTAATAATTTAATAATATTTCTAAAGTAAAATTAATTATAAGTAACTAAGTATACCTATTTGTTCTTTAGATGTAGGATGATTTGAATCTAACTTTTTTTTTTTTTTAAAAGCATGCACCATTGATTGAGTCAAATTTGCTAAGGTGCGTAAGTACTAAATAATTTAGTATTTTATGAATATAAATAAATGATAAAACTTAACTCTACATACTTGATTGTTAATCTTAAGTCTAAAACCATACTAGAAATTATGAAAAGTTAAAATTCAAAATAATTAAAATACTAAATAAACAATTAAATAAAGATTTATCAAATCAATTTGGCTAATGAATGCTAATAAATAACTTTTAAGTTTAGCTAATTTATAATTTATAATAATATTTTTTTATTCAATGCAATTGTGATAATTAATTTAATGAATTTTAATACTTTTGAACAAATATTACATAATATGGTAACTTTAAAATTTTGATATAACAGTGAATTTTTCAATTGATATAATGAAGAAATAAATGAACGTGCAACGTTTCTCCTAATAAAAGAGTATCATATTAATTCTAAAAAATTTAAAATCAATATATTCGTATATTATTCATTTAAATATAATATAGCATTAACTTTATTTGTCATATGGAGAAGATAAAATTATTCACAACCAATTAATCTTTCTTCTCATTTTTACTTAGGATAATTTTTCATTGGTGTTTCCATCAATTAAATGTTATTATACATTCCACCAATTGAAAGCTTAATTTTTCTTTTATTTGAAAATTTTCTTATACATAAATTTTATTATATAAAATTTTAAAATACATAATTTTAAACATTAAAATAAAAAAATAATTTCATAACCTTGTTACTTGTCATGTTTTTTTAAAGGAAATTCCAATTCTTAGAATAATAAGCTTATTATATAACACCTATACAATTTATAATAATTTCATTTTTAGTATTAATAACATAAATTTTCATGGCATAAACACATTCAAAGATAATTTTAATGAATTTAGTCACACTTTAAATGAATTCACCAAAAACAATTAATCTTACTCCACTTGATAATTCTCTACTTAAAATAATTTACGTTAGTACATTTAACTACCTAGATAATAAAAAAAGTGAGTAATTTAATATAATTGAGAAAGATTAAATCATATTGATATAGAAATTAGTCAAGGTAAAAACTTCTTATAATAATTTGGTCTTGAGCTAAGAGTAGCCTACCACCTCCTAAATCATTTAATTCTACATATTGTAAGTCCAATTGAAGTGTTCAATAAATCACATAGAGCTAATTATTTGTGAAGAGTTTGCAATTGATTTACATTTGATTTTATATTTATTTTTATTCGTGGGAATAATAATTATAAATTTCAAAAGAAAAATATAAAAAATTAATTATAGAGGTTAGATTAAATTATAAGAATGATAAATATTAAATAATTATTTTAAGATATTAAAAGAATTTAATTATGTTATCAATGATCGAATAATTAACTCATAAAACATACAAATAGTAAAATTATTAACATACGTATATAGTTAGCTAATCAATTAAAAAAATTGAAAAGCAAAAATATAAAAAATATATATATTCTCAAATGACTTAATTATGATTATCTGTATGAATTTATTTATTAATATAAATATAAACTAGACTGTGCAACTACTTTCACAACAATAAAGAAACAAACTTCATGTAATTGTTTTATTGCTATGTACACTTGCAAGTTTTGATATCATTCTATTTGTATTTTTATGTGATTTGAAAATTATATTTTGCATCATAAGATGAGTCTAATTAAAAAGAAAAACCATTTAAGTTAAACTTTATTTTAATTTTGATGCAAGATCTTTATCAAACCTAGCTCCAAAAGATATGAATTAAAACATATTATTAGAAAATCCATTGTATTTTCAAAATTCAATAACTTTTTCAGTTTGAGATGTAACATTATATATAATTGTTCTGGAACAGAAGTGATAGCTAACTTGATTGGTTTGACAATAAAATGAAAGAGGCTCGTATTGGAATTTTTTCCGCCATAGTAGTTACAACAGTGAATATTTTTCGACTGATATAATGGAGAAAACAAATAAGTATACAATGTTTATCATAACAAATAAGTTTCATATTAATCCTAAAGAAATTCAAAATAATACATTTATATATTTTTCATTAAAATATCATAGAACACTAATCTTATTTGTCATATAAAGAAGATAAAATTATGCATAACCAGTCAATCTTTCATTTTTTTTTTTTTTTGGCTTAAGATTATCCTCCATTACTACTTCATCGATTGAATGTAACTGTATGTCCTACTAATTGAATGCTTAATTTTTTTGTTATTTGAAAGAATCATTATAAATAATTTTTTATTACATATAAATTTTAAAAATATAATTTTAAAAATTAAAATAAATTCCTAACCTTGGTATGTTGTCATATTTTCATTTTAAGGAAATTCTAATCCTCAAAATGACAAACTTGTTGTGTAACTCTTATATAATTTACAATAATTTTTTTAAAGTATTGACAATATAAATTTTCATAAATGAATATAATTTTGGTATAAACACATTTAAAATATTGTTCAAATAAATTTTATCTCACCTTCAAAGAATTCACCTACAATAATTAATCTTTCTTCACTTGCTAATTCTTTGCTTAAAATAATTTAAACTAGGTCATTTAGCTACTTGGATGACAAAAAAAGCAAACAATTTAATACAATTAAGAAAGATTCAATAATTTTGAGATAGAAATTAATTATATATACGCATATTAACATAAAAGTTTAGAGAAAATTAAATCACTAGAGTTTCACTAATAAATAATTTTGATGGTAATTTGGCAGGACTTAAACCTGAACTACTAGTATATAACCCTTTAAATTATTTAATTTTACAGATAAAAAATTCAATTGAAGTTGTTCAAAGTATTTAATGAAATTTGTGCTAAAAGAAACAACAATGAATTCACATTCGATATCATTACAATATTTGTACGTTTAATAGATTAAAAGTCAACATTATTAAAAAATGATATATATGATATTATTAAAACTGAAAGGATTGAAAATTTAAAAATGAATGGAAGATGAAAAGGAAAATATACAGCTGAGAAGTCGCAAAACTCTATCAGAAGTTAGCATCCTACAGAATGTAGGAGGTGTTAGCGTTTCTTGTTTATATAAATATAAGTACTTGTTTAATTCTAAAATAGATAATTTTGTATAATAATTCTTAATCGTGAAAATCATATTTTGTATTCAATAGGAGTCTAATGTAATAAAAGAAGTTTAATGATAAAAAAATTATTTAAATTAAAATTCATAAATATATATATATATATATTAAGAATATTGTAGTCAATCATTTTTAATATTTTTTATTTGAAATTAAAAATTTCATTAAGGGTACTTTTGTTGATTATTTTTAATATTTTTGGAGTTTATACTTTTATATATAGAGATAGATAGATAAATGATATATTAATTATAATATACATTAAAAAGAAAAGGATTAAATATAAAATGTTCTTTTATTATATATTTTTTGTCAGTTTGGTATTTAAGAAAATAAAATTTTCAATTTGATATTCTAACTTTTATTCTGTCATTCATTTGGTACATGAAATTAATGTCGTGAGTCAACTTGTTGATATAATATGAAAATCTAATAAAATATTGACACATATTAAAAAATTCAATCAATACCACATCATTAATTACCTTATCAGCATTAAACATTTTTTAAAAAATTCACAAAAATTCAAAAAATTTTCTAAAATAATTTTAAAATTTTTCAAAAAATCAGAAATATTTTTTAAAAAATTATAAAAATTAAAAACTGAAATTTTTAGAAATTTTAAAAAATTTTGAAAATTAAAAAATTTAAAAAAATCTCAAAATTTTACTAAAAATTTCAAAAAATTTTGAAAATTCATAAAAATGAAAAGTTTAATAAAATTTAATTTTCTTAAAATTAAAAAAAAAAAGATTCACTAGAAGTTAAAAAATTGAAAATATAAAAATATACATTCTTTTGAAAGAATCTAAAATTTTTTTAAAAATAGCAAAAACATTTTTGTTAAAATTATGAAAATTTTTCTTTTTTTTATCTGACAATTTTAATTTTTAAATTTTTATGAATTTTTTAGTTTTTTTTATTTTTCCAAAATTTTTTAGATTTTTATAATTTTTATTGAATATTTCAAATATTTTAAAATTTTATAAAATTTTGAAAGTTTATAAGAATTCTTTTTATAAATTTTCAGTTTTTTTTTATAAAAAATTAGATTTTTTTAATGTTCAAAACTTTTCAAAAAATTTTAGATTTTTAATTTTTTGAATTTTTTGGAATTTTTTATTAAAATTTTGAGATTTTTTTGAAAATTTTAAGTTTTCATTTTTTTTTTTAATTTTTTAGAATTTTGAAAAAATTTTTAATGTTGATTTTACAATTAATAATGTGACGTTAACTAGATTTTTTTCAACATACATCAATATTTTATTAAATGCTTATGTCATTTAACAAAAGTGAATAATGAAATAAAAGTTCAAGTATTAAACTGACAAAAAAATATGATATCGAGATTATTTTTATATTTAACCCCAAAGAAAGTTCTACAACGTTACAAACGAGATATTGGCAACTGGAGTTAGAAGATTTATTACATGAGATAATCCTCAAGGCGTTGTGGTAATATTGTTACATTATATAGACTAAGAATTTCTTCATATATATAGTGATGCACAATCAAATGTAATAATATAATTTTTAAGTTAAAGTTTTATGATATTATTATCTCGACTTGTTTAGAAATTTTTTTGGTATTTAAAATTATCAAAATTTAAATTTTAATTATTATCAATAGATCGACAACATAATTTAAAATTATTAATTCATTGCTGGTACTTAATTAAACCATATGACTTTTTTATTTCATAATCATGAGCACCCATTTCCTCGTGCTAGCCATTAAGATTGTACTCCAAAATAAGACAAGCTTTTCGTTTCCTTTTGTTTTGTTCTAAATCTGTTTCAGGCTTGTTAAATCAACAATTAGCTTAAATTAAAGGCTAAGCATAGATGCAGTATAAATTTTCCAGTTCTTTGATTTTCCGGTAAGGCATTGCTCACTGAAGATATGAAGTGTGATTTAAATCAATGGCAACAGGAATTTTTATTCAGTCAATTCCCACTTAAAATTTATTTCAGTTGGAAAACAAAATCAATTTTACACCAGGAAGATCCTTATATATACATATATGTCATGAATTTTGGAGATTAATAAGAGCATGCATTAATAACAGATTGTCATGTATACCTTGTATCACCTGCTCATGCTTAGTGCTTCTGTACATCTGTCCATAAAAGGTTTTTAAGACACTCACCAGTCACCAAAGATTAAAAGGTCACCGTTGGAAAATACTAATTAACAAAGAGAATTTCTCAACAAATATAATGTTTTTGCAGTAGTTTGATATATCATACCTGAAGATGACTCTTTACATGAGAGATTGTAAGTCCCTTCACATCCATTATCTGCAAAACCATCTTCGGGGTAGCTCCTATATGTTTATAGTTCAAAACCATAATATTACTAAACTTTGCTATATGATCAAATTAACATGTCATGATCATGATTTTAATCTTAAAGAAAAACAGTTTAATGAATGAAAATGAAAAGGGATATGACTTGAAAGGGTTGATTGAGGTGATCTAAATATTGGAAGATGGCTTACTGTCTTCTCCACCTAAGTGTTCAACTGCATGCACAAAACATTGGTGAAGATCAGGAGTCCATCTTAGCCGAGGCATATTTGATCTGACATAAGGCCTTGGCCGTTTCAAGCTTATTTCAGGTAGATTCTCATCCATTCGTTGCCTTGTAACTCTCATACTTGATGACGACTGTGAATAAATTAAATACTCCTTCCACTGTTGTCGAGAGAAGAAGAAGAAGATGGAGACCCCTTAAGGCAACTAACTATCACCATCTACTCTCCTTATTTGCATACTGGAGAGACTAAATAAGAGAAAAAAAGGTGGTCTTCGGTGAAACAAAAGGAGAATAAATACTAGTGAGAGTCACTCTGTTGCATAAAATTTGTCTTCTTCTGCAGCTTTTCTCACACTCTTTAAGATCAGTTTTGTCTATTGGAGGCTCCATTAGAAAAAGGAAAAATTAGACACGGAATTCCAGACTCAGATTGAAAGTTGAATGGGTGAAAAACTAAAACCCAAACCCAAAGGTTAAAAGGTAAAGTTAAAACATTTCTACCGGAGATAATAATATCATGGTTTCAAGACATTCTTTGAGCGATGCATTCCCTGACATTCATTCCTTCTTTTTCTTTCTTTTTTCAGCTGAATAAAACAATTGCAACTGCTGACTTGAGTTATAGCCAAATTAAGCCTCAGTTCATTAATTATTATAGGAGAGTATGATTCTTAGAAGCAATTAATCTTTGTTCCAAGTAAAACTTTTATAAAGAAATTTTACCAATCTCAAATTTTGTTAACTATTTCATTATTATAGGAATATCTACAAAATTTAACAGTTAAGAGTTGCAAAGAAAATTAACCAAGCTAAAAACGTTATAACAAAAGAAATTAAAAAAAAAAAAAGGTTCACTACAAAACAAATAAAGACCTGAACATTGAAAAAGCGCCCGAAGTGAAGCATGGCATGACCTAATCATTTGCACTTCCTACAAGAAACATGTTTAATCAAAACCTCCCCCGGCCATTCCTCAAAACAAGATAGTTCCCTTTATTCCAGCCATCGTCACTTTATTTTTCTTCCCTTCAAGACCAAATCATAGACGGTTTCATATATAATAACATACCATTTTTACACTAATAATATCATATACACTCATTTGCCTATTGATGTTTGAATCACTAGGTATGTTATTAAAATTAGTGTTTTGGAAATTATGAATCGAAAAAAATTTACATACGTAATATTTTTTTAATCAAATAAGTAATAAAGTAGATAAGAATTTAAAAAATATATTATGTACACTCATTTCATATATTTATATTTGTTTCATGCATTTATTTTTTATTTTAAAATATAAATAAAATTATTAAAATTTTTATAAATTATAATAAAATTTATATATTACGTGAGTACATGAAACAAATATATATGACTTTTTTTTTCTTTTCACACTAATCCAATGTAGCCGATCGGCATAACACGTGTTGCCACATAAGCATTCATTGCTGACAGGGGGTTGGAGAGGATACAAATTAAATGAGACGGTTTCAAAATGGAGAATATTCCCCAGGATGGATTTGCCAGAAGCATGGACAAGTGTGGGGCGATGTCGTGAGCTTGAATAATGGTACAATTAAGGAGACTCCATCCATTTTAAAGCAGATTTTCGCTTTGCTTTATTTTACTTTTGATAAGCAAAGTTTCTTCGTTATCCGATGAGACCATAAAGAATACAACAGGGCTGCAACACTAGCAACATAAGGAATTTAACCATCAACTAACTATGCAAACATAAAGAGTCCCTCAAACCCAGGCAATATGAAATCCCTGTTAGTCAATATTCCTAGCGAGCCAATAGGGCTTGTTGGTGTCAAACTACGATTTGAGTATATTTTTGTAAATACAAAAGAAAAAAATAGTTAAAGGCAAAAGTAATGGATGTTTTCTCATTTACATTTTGATGTGCAAGTTAATAAGGATAAGATAAAAAAAAAGTAAAAAAATACTAAGGAAGAAAAGATATAAGTTAGATAAACCCGACTTTGTGATGCTTGAATTTCTATATTTATAGATAAGTTAAAAAGGACAAAAAAGGACAAATAGTATAAGATCAAGCTAAAATGGCATTGAATATGTTAAATCAACCTGATATGTGAGGTCCACATAAATGACCAAGATACTTTTAGTTGTTTGTTGAAGACTGAAGGAAGGAAAAAAACTACTATGCCTTTCTAACCATTATATGCTCCTAACACTCTATCCCCCCATCAAGCGCTCTCAGTATCAGATCGCCAAATTTGTTACTAACGTCCCCGGTGTGGGGCAAGTGGTTACATATTTTGTCGAAGGCCGATGTTGCAAGGGGGTTGGCTCTAAACGATGACAAGTTTTGAATCGCAATCCGACCTAGCGATTATCTGATCTCGCGCATGTATTTCGAGATGAGTGTATAATCAATTTAAAAGTTGCTGAGGGGATAATTATCTGGGGTGATCTGAGATTATAACTAGAGTTCGTATGGCCAAGGTAAGACTGGTGTTTTCTTTCAAAAATTTGGACATGAGTTTTTACTTTGAACCTTGAAAGTAAATCGAGCTCTCGATTTATTCTTGACAATTGTCCAATTTGACTGATTCAATCTAGGGTTCTTCTAGTTAGGTCAATCTGACAACATTAAATGAAAAGAGAGAGTTTAAATAAGGAGATATAAAACAAGAAGACAAAAAAAATCTACTTGTCTAATGTTCTAACATGTGGTAGAGATCGTGCCATCCCTTTAGGCTGAAGCACATCTATATAAAAGGGCTGATAAGGCTTCAACTTTCCATCTTTTACTTTTTTTACTCTTAATCTGACTTAAAATTTTCGATCTCCACATCTTTCTTACCTTCAAAGTTTTTTCTACGCCTATTTCAATATGTATTTCTAACCATGTCTTCTAGTATGAGATCTGGAGGGGATGAAAACTATAGGGTAAAGCCAAGGGAAGGTTAATAAGAGAAGTAGGATGATAACCTGATCCCCCTTGTTATTAGAGGCCACAACCTTATGAAGATAGCCTATTAGTTCAATTCAATGTCTAAGGAAGGGCAGTGATGCAATGAAAAGAATGATTGGACAAGAAGCGAATAAGTTTTGAGCACTGAAGAGCTGTGTGCTCAGATCAACTTCAAACTTTAAAATCCACATATTTTTTCTTTCTCTCAAGTCAATCCATTTTTTATGGCTAACCTTCTTTCCTTTTTAGTTATTCTCTCTTTTAGGGTTCAATATCATTCACTTTTTGCCACTTCTACTCCCCTTCAATCAATTTTTTCTTACTTTTCGTCCTCTTCTGAAGAGTCTTCACCTCGTCTTTCTTTATCTGAAATCAAGCTGCTTTTATCCACCGCTCATTCTCGAGATTTATCTCTCATTTCAAAGTTAGATTCTTTTGACGAGAAAAGTTTCGATGAGGAATAAGAGGAAAAGAATACCTTAATAAAAAAAAGTGACAAGGGAAAGACTTGTAAAGTAGGACAAACTTGCCAAAGTCTCTGAATATACTTCTTGTGACCTCGACATGATCTTTAAAGACATGATGAGTGAGCTAAAGGGCAAAGTAAATCTCAAAGACTGTCCTAACATGTGCTCAGCTCTTCACATTCAAGCTTTGGGTACCATTTTCTTTTTTCCTAAAAAAGAGTATAGTATAATAATATCAAACTCTTCAAGCTGAGTCACTGATAGACTAAAGCTGTATCGACTCTATGTATAATAGAATTAGTTTGTGGCCAATCTGAGGTTTTCACTTCATCCTTTATTCATTTCAATTTTTAATTCTTACAATTTAACCATCACTCAGCTTACCTTTAATTATGTTTAGTACATGTCTCTTTTATCATTCTTTGTCAACATTTAAATATTTTTCTTTCTCTCCGTTTATTCAAAGAATTTTTTTTCTTAAAAGGCATTTTAATGATAGCAAGTGGTTCTATATCATAGCTTGATCGAATAAAAAATCTCATTGATTACTCGAGCTCGATAAAAAATTGAAAGCTACTCTTTCTATGCCTTGAAAAATAAAAGACCAATAAAAATGATGAGCCTGAGGTTGAAGCTTGGTAAATAAGTACACCCGATTCTTTTTTGGATGCATTGGTGGCCTTTTCCATTCTTGATCTATAAAATTAGGATAAAATTTTAGATTTTATATGTAGAGGAGAACTCGTTAGCGACGCTTACAAGCTAACTTCCCCTGAAGTAATAAATAATACAAACTATTGGGGTAATTTTGAAGTTATCTCATCGAGTTTTATTTTGAGTTGACTTTTCATCTAACTATTAATTTGATTTTGCAGATATGGCTAAAGCCAGGAAAGCTTCAACATCACCCTATATCAACACTTTTCAAAGCCCAAGAGGGAAAAAAAATCCAACTCAAGGCCCATCACGTGGCAAAGACAAGGTAGTCAGCACAGTTATACCCCACGTTCCTCTAGGTCAAAAATCAAAGGTTAAGGCAAGTCAAGACCTGTTCTTCACGTCAATGATAATGCAAACCTTTTTAGCTAAACGATCATGGGTAAAAGTGTTATCCACTCATCCTGAAAACCCCGAAGCTAGGTTGCTAAAACCTAGCTTGGAAAAAATAACCATGGGGTTAGAGTTTGCTCCAACAGATGACCCTGTCTCTAACCTTGATGTTGCTAAGAAGTTCTATAAAGTCATAATTTATCTTCTTAGTGAGTATCTTCTTACCTCAGCTTGATTTCTTTTTACTATTTTTGTTTTTATTTTTTTAAGTATAAGGCCTTTCCTTGCAATATAAAAAAGTTCTCACTTTAGCCCGTGAAAAACAATAACCGAGCCTTTCATTACACTTATTTTGCAATAAGACATATACTGACGGTTAATAAAGATACCATTGCCTTTGCTAAAGAGCATAAAAAAAGCTTAAAAGCATTGGGCAACTTAGATCGAGCCTCACTACATTCCATAAGAATAAGGCAAAGCTGAAGAGTAAAGTAAACAACCTGGTAGCGAAGTTAGAAGCCATTTCAATGGATATGCCCTCAGCCAAATCGATGAAAAAATAAGCTGAGCTAAAACTAAATGATGCTCAAATTGCAAGGCTAAAATATGAGATAAAGGCTCAAGACAAAAGGGAAAA